AAAGAAGAATACATTTGTGACAGTTTAAGCCCAACAGCAAGTATGTAGCGTAAATAATGGTCAAAATACAGACCATCAAAATAAATAAATTTGTCCAAAGACGTATAAAAATTGTGGTTTTTTTCCAATATTTCCACAATATAGTTGTTTGAAGCAAACACCGTATTGATTTAGAGAGTATGCCAGTTTATTTGCTATTATTAGAAAATAAATGAAAGTATGAATAAAAATACCCCCACCTCAGCAAACCTGCAGACTAAGCGAATTTCCATTTTCTTGATTTGATTTTCACAAACCTATTTAAATAACATTAGGTTTAACTGGTACCTAGGTTTGCTGCTACAGGGAGGGTAATACATTATATAAAATGATAATAGTATGATAAGAAACAAATAAATTTACCCAATCTTATAAAAATGTGTCTATAAATAAGGAAAAAACAATAATTAAAAATCTTCGCTTTGGAATAACTTGAGGTTTTTTAATTTACATTTTTTAATTTTCTCCGTAACCAATAACTGTAAAAAACATTTTAATGTTCTAAATTATTTGTTTTTAAGCTCTACAAAATTCTTTAGTGATACAACTGTAAAATTGTAAGTTTTGAGGGTTAAAAATGAAAAAAAAAAATATTCTTACTGGCAAAATACCTATAAGGCAACCGTTCCTATGGCCTTATCATGCCGATCATGCTTCGCGATCTCGTTTTAATAAATAAATGTACGTTTATATGATTCAATGAGTCAATGATTTATTTGGCCATCAAGCAAAACTAATAGGCTAAGTCACTTACAATACAAAGTAAATGATAAATAGTCCATCTCTTGATTCACAAATAAAAGTAATGTTTGTACTAAATTCCACTAAATCGGATGATTTTTGGTAATCATCGTGCTAACGGACGATAATAACTTTTTACAGTTTAGTAACATCTTTAGTTGTTTTTTTTTTCATACAGGGTGTCAAAAAAACTCACCTAGTTTGAAAATTTATTTATTTATTGTACTAGATACAAACTACTGTTCAACGACTGATACCATAAAGAAGGCTATGCTGATACATTAAATGAAAGGTAATAAAATAAAAGTTTCGAATTTGGTCTGATTAGACCATCGAACAGGCCCTCATAAAGACATTGAAAAGCCCTGATGGATTGACTCGAGGACGAGGGATAACAGACAAAATTTTGTAGCTTGATGGGCGCTTGGGATGACCCGTCCTCATCAAATCTGTAGGAAGTTGAGAAATATTATAAAAAATGACGTCAGTTGAACATTTACAGTGAGCAACATGTTGACGTGCGCCATTATCGCATTGCTCGAGACAACGAAATTGATGAAAAGATTAAATAGTGGTTTCCTCAACACACACCATTCAATATAAATGATATGCTGATTATTAGCAAATTTCCTTTATAGGAAATACGCTATTACAGTAGGTCTCATGGTAAGACCTAGACCCGGGACCAATTTACTTTTTCATTTTGGTATTCCTAGAGGCCAAAAATACTGTTGGTTCAAATTGTTATAACATATATATATATATATATATATATATATATATTTATATATATATATATATATATATATATATATGTATAGGCCTATACCAGGTGTCCGAAAAAGACTCCATAGTTTTAAGCATACCTCACGATACTATTGTTCAAATGGATGAGTAATAATAATTTCGTGCTGTGTAGAGTATACTTCAAAGTTTTAGTTTCGTACGTTGGCAATAAGTTGCGTAACCTATTTGACCTTGAACATAGTTTTGTTAATAAATTATAATACAAATAATAAAATATTAATGATAAAAATGAGTAAAAATAGCTTGCATGTCTGCAGGGCTACAAATGGTTCGCATATTGAGGTGTGATAGTGTTAAAATAACTTTTATTTTATTACCTTTCATTTAATGTATCAGCATAGCCTTCTCTATGGTATCAGTCGTTGAACAGTAGTTTGTATCTAGTACAATAAATAAATAAATTTTCAAACTAGGTGAGTTTTTTTGACACCCTGTATGAAAAAAAAAACAACTAAAGATGTTACTAAACTGTAAAAAGTTATTATCGTCCGTTAGCACGATGATTACCAAAAATCATCCGATTTAGTGGAATTTAGTACAAACATTACTTTTATTTGTGAATCAAGAGATGGACTATTTATCATTTACTTTGTATTGTAAGTGACTTAGCCTATTAGTTTTGCTTGATGGCCAAATAAATCATTCAATCATTGAATCATGTAAACGTACATTTATTTATTAAAACGAGATCGCGAAGCATGATCGGCATGATAAGGCCATAGGAACGGTTGCCTTATAGGTATTTTGCCAGTAAGAATTTTTTTTTTTCATTTTTAACCCTCAAAACTTACAATTTTACAGTTGTATCACTAAAGAATTTTGTAGAGCTTAAAAACAAATAATTTAGAACATTAAAATGTTTTTTACAGTTATTGGTTACGGAGAAAATTAAAAAATGTAAATTAAAAAACCTCAAGTTATTCCAAAGCGAAGATTTTTAATTATTGTTTTTCCTTATTTATAGACACATTTTTATAAGATTGGGTAAATTTATTTGTTTCTTATCATACTATTATTATTTTACTAAAAGATATACAGTACTATATTACCCTACCTGTAGCAGCAAACCTAGGTACTAGTTAAACCTAATGTTATTTAATAGGTTTGTTAAAATCAAATCAAGCAAATGGAAATTCGCTTAGTCTGCAGGTTTGCTGAGGTGGGGGTATTTTTATTCATACTTTCATTTATTTTCTAATAATAGCAAATAAACTGGCATACTCTCTAAATCAATACGGTGTTTGCTTCAAACAACTATATTGTGGAAATATTGGAAAAAACCACAATTTTTATACGTCTTTGGAAAAATTTATTTATTTTGATGGTCTGTATTTTGACCATTATTTACGCTACATACTTGTTGTTGGGCTTAAACTGTCACAAATTTATTCTTCTTTAATGTAATAGTATAAAATTTTCGGTAGAATCAACGGTTCGCGAGATTGAGTGAAAAACAATAGGAATTGCCATATTTTTGATATTTCGATAACAAGTGGCGCGCCCCTCGGCGAGCGGCAGTATCTCGAGGTGGATAACTTGGATTTTATGTTATGGGCCCAATACTAACAACATATCCAAAAATCAGAACTACCCGACCTTTTGCATACCAAAATGTCTTATTTTACTGGACTATAACTCAAACATATTAACAAAAACAGTAGGCATACTTTCTCATAAGAATTTCATGTATCGTTCAAAATATTCAGTCAAAACAAATCTTAAAGACTTTCATCACAGCGAAACGTGTTTATCTATTGCTTAACTTCTCATTATCTTGAAACGTGAGCCTGTTATATCAGCTGATAAAAATCACTTGTAATAAACATGTGTTGTGGACCAAAGTGCAACAATATGTAGGATGTGTAGTTTAAAAGGTGATTCATTATCAAAGGTTAACAGTAGATATTGTTTTGCAACTTTTGTAGTTTTCAAATAGTCACGAATATAGTATGTGCCTAAATAAGTGATACCATCCTAATAAGTTACATAAATTCCAAATTCAGTAAGAGAGAGATTTATTTATTCTTAAGACTCCAGTTTACGTTACTGGTTCGGTATTTAAGAAATATGTTTTAGTTTACTTATCGTAATGGAAAATATCCGCAATAATCTTAATATTTGTAATTTGTTTGGATCCCTTAGGTTGCCTGACTCTTTAGACTTAAACGTTCCAAAAATTATCCGCCAATTAATGTTTGCTTTTTATATTCATCTAACAAAGTCTTGTTTCTACTGATTAAAGTTGGACAAATGTTGTAGAACAAAATAAAAACCCATAAGAATTATGGATAAGTTACTCTGAATTGATATGTGTTTAGTGGATTAAGCTGGTCTAGTGGTTGAGCGAGGGACTTCGGTCCAAGAGGTCCAGAGTTCAAATCCTGCCAAATCACCAATGGATCTCATTGATAATGCCGCAACCCTTAGGTCTAGCCACTAGCCTAAAGTAATGTGAAAAACAAACCCGGTCGAGAGCCTAGCTTCTTAGAACAAAAAAAGGTTGATTTACTATATTAACTTGACTCAATCTTTTGAATTTTTTTTTTTTTCAACGCCAGTGGCATTTCACGAGAGAGTTGTACGAGATAAATGTTTAGTGGATGTGCCGGGGATTGAACCCGTCCCTCCTGCACCGAAGTCCGAGACGCTAACCACTAGGCTAGCAACACAACCAAATTTAGCTGAATCATTAAGAATTCTAAAGTATACTTTGTCCTCAACAAGTTACCTTAAGAGGGTTCTACCTGGTCAATTCAAGACGGCGGCTAAACATGCTAATGTTTCTAAACATGCCTCTATGATACAAGCTCTCAACACTCTAGAACTAATTTGTTTTCCAACGATTGTGTGCCTTTTGTGCTCTTAACATATCGGAGCTTGCAATGGATGGAGATTGAATTATTTAGCTAAAATCACATGTGAAAAATACTAAATTTATGGATTTTCAAAATGATTTTGTAAATACTTAAAGAAACAATAACGAAGTTTCAGTTCATCTAGGGCATAGTTAGGATCTTTGTGAATATTTTACAGTTTATTTCAACTCGATAAATATTCAATAATGCCACGAGGTTCTTTTTTGTAGGACCATGTTTACGTGGTAACCAGCCGGTGGGTGGAACCCTCTTCATTTTTGTTGTTATTTTTTGTTCCAGAGTGGTGTAGACAATCAAAATAGGTTAAATTACCACCAACACTCTTAATATTAATGGAAAATGAATGTGTTATAGTGGGTCAGTAGAACGCAGCAACTAGCCTACCAGAGTGTGACTAACTAGCAACCAACTAACTATGCCTTTCCAAACTATAAAAATAAGTTGAGTTATTTAAAAGTCCAGTTACAATTAAATATTGAAACAAAACAAAATTTTACAAGTGTTCACTCTTTCACTGTATTCCATCTGTTTTTGCAGTATGGCAGGAATACAATCGAAAGAAAACATAAAACAAGAGAAAATTCCATGGATGAAGAAGAGGAGAAAGAAAAAGAGAAACCGAAAGTAATAATTACAGTTGGAGAGCAACACGGAGATGTTGAAATGAAGGATAACCATGTGAAGGAGAATAATAAGTTGGAAAACGGACAAGCAGTTTTGATATCTCGGGAGGATCTCATCCTAGCTCCGGACCCGGAGCTGAACTACGTCGGGAACAACAATTTGGAGATCGGGGTGAGTTGAAAGCCAATGATATTTTCTTTGACTGGGTCCAATGTTAATGCTAATAATACCCCCGTTGCAGCAAATCTGCGGACTAAGCGAATTTCCATTTGCCTGATAATGTTTTCACTAAAATATCTCCTTATAAATGTCATATTTTTATCCCTGTTCCCTTCTAATCGTGCTTTAATGAACCCCACACATAGTAAGGACTACCTGTAGTGAAAATAAAAAAAACTCACCATAAATATCATATTTATTGTTTTGTTTCTTTTAACACTATAACCGTATACTTTAGGTAGGCCTACACCCTTTTACTATCTGAATTCTGCCAACCTTCACATTAATATCAGTCAAGTTATTCACTAATTTACAGTACATGACTTGACTACTCTAATGAAGCTGTATTAATACTTTGGCTTTATGTTGGTAAATGATTAGTGCTAATTGATAACCTTAGCACAACATGAATAGTAAAGAAAGTTGTAATTATCATAATGAATGTTGACAAAAATAATAGAGTACTAAACATTATGTAATCGTTAAACGGATGTGAATTTTGAAACTAAAATTTCCAAGCATAACATCCCCGCTACATGGTAATCATCTTCAAAATTTAAATACTAATTTAATGTTTGAAAAATGATAGTAAAATGATTGTAAGATTAAGATCAAAATCTAATTAAAGTGTTGGATGTTTTAGATCATTTAATTATTTTTTGTACCTACATCTACTCATGTTTCACAACCAATTCCATCTCTCCAATTCTTTATATAAGTTTAACGGCATCTCATAATAAGTAATACAAATTTGAAGAGAAAATATGGTTAATGTCTGAAAGCACGCCCTGCACAACGTATGGTGTACGGTTCTGGTTCTGTCATATTAATTGATAATGATAACCCAACAGTTGTTGACTAAGTTTATAATTGTTGTGAAAGTTTACAAACCGAACACGGATAAAGTTTGTACATTTCAAGTAATTTCAAAACTTATGGGTTGTTAATTTGTTTATCTGATTTTTGACTCTCAAAAAGAAAATATCTTTTGAATATATATTTTTACAGCTTTTAAACAACCAAATAGCCTATCATATTGAAGTGTTTTCTTGGTTAGTGACGGAAAATTCCCCAAAAAATCTACCTATATAAGTTCCTGTGTTATTCTTAAAGAACAACAAGCAAGCTGTAGTAATTTATAAGGATGTATTTTGATCACATAATTTGGCAAAAATGTTTTTATTTTGTAAGCGATTGAAATTTAACTAAAATCACTTTAATTACCTTCCCTGCAGTCAGCAAACCTAAGTACTCATTAAATCTCATGTTATTTATTTAATGTTAAAATATGAAAATTTGAAGGAAATATTTTTGTGAGAATCAAATTAGGCAAACGGAAAATTTGCTTATTCTGTGGTCTGCTGCAGCAGGGGTCATATTGTCATCACAGGTGTAAAGTATTTACTGCCTGTCAAGGTAGTTTTTTACGTTAATTACCACACTAGAGAGTCCCCAAGGTCAATACACTGGGCATCCCTGACCTCCTTAGCTCAGCACTCGGATTACCTCATATGTTAAACATTTCATCCCACTGCCTTCTTGATTAAGTGTTTGTAAAAAAAACTGAAAATTGGAAAAAATGGGAGAAACAAAAAAAATATACTGTACATAGTGGTTTTATCCATTGTAGATTTTTCAAATCGAGTTTTTGGTTTTTATAAATATGAATTTTATGGTTAACTTATTTAATACAGTAGAACCTTGATAACAAGACTCTCATGGGGATTATAAAATAAGACTTGTTATCAAGGTTGTCTTCTTATCGAGGTTTGCAATAACATGTATTTAGAGGTGAAATAAATTCTATTGGATTTAAAAATGACACTTGTTATCGAGGATCGAGGGTCTTGTTATATTATATATATTATATATATATCATATATATATAGTATATATATAATATATATAATATATATATTATCGAGGTTCTAATCTTAAATGCAATGTATAGGCCTATTCGGTAACACTCTGTAGATTCCAACCATATTGTCTTTTATGCAAGCACTAACACTGGTAATAAGTTAAACTTTATACGGGTTAAAAACACTTTGGAATTTGTTCAATTTTTGAGATTCAAATTATTTTCTTCTGCTAAAACTCTTTCAAGTTTTTCTCTAGTAAACATATTTAACTATAATGTAGGATGATAGCTTATTCATAAATACTATTGTCAGGGTATCAGGGGTGGTAATAGTGCTCGCATTTAAATCTGAAGGCCGTTGGTTCGATTCCAAACAAGATCCAGATACATGTTTTTTCACATGGCTTTCAATTAATGATGCTATCTAACATAAGGTTGACGTAAAATTGTGACAAGACCAGTTTTTAGATAGTTCCTTTACAACAAAAAAATCCTAATGGCGTGGATTCCATGTTATTTAAGGGAACATGACTTTCTAGAATGCAAGTAAAAAGTCTTAAAATATAGTCTTTAAATGTTTATGGGTGATTTGTAACTATCACAAAAATGGTAAAACAAACCATTGATTGTTGTTAATATGATAAATTTAAAATGTCATTTGTTAACAACTGTACTTTTAAAAAGCTATGCTAAAACCCAAAAGTTCAATAAACTTGTCTGTTTGAGTTAGTCAAAGTTTGTACATAAACAATAAAGCAAAATATCAAAGATGATAACAAAACCAAATAAAAGTCATTGTCAGTAGGCTAGATGATTTGGGACTTCGTACTCCTAAAACGTCATGATTTTTCTTTAAACTATTAAAACTTTATAAGCAATTTAAATGTTTTCTAGTGCTTTCTATGTGTGAATTGTTTTTAAAACATCATTATCAAAGGTACTTTTAAGATAACAACCAGACTTTAATTTAAAATAAAATGAATTAATGCAAAAATTTGTAGGCCTAATGAGAATGATTATTTGTTAGTTAAAAAAAAAAAATAGTCCTGTTTAACCTATTTGTTTTATTAAATTTTGTTAGTTTTGTGAATTTGACTTTGTTGCATTTCAAAAAAGAAATAAGATAAGTTTTTATTTCATCATCCCACATGTCTTCCCTTGGAAGTGGATTTAAAAAATTATTTCCAAACAAAAAACTCTAATATTAAATTTAAGTTTTTAACTTACGTAATTTTTGTTTGTAATATTTTTAGAAAACCACATTGCCCCGTAGTCGGTCGTACGAAACGCTAAGACGAGAGTTTCAGTTGTCTGATTGTTTGAACTACATCAAGGCTGGCGTGGAGGCCATCATCGAAGACCAAGTCACTTCTAGGTTCGAGGCTGAGGAACTAAAGGTAACAGTTCGATCCCCTCTGAACACAACACAGTTCCACCATAGACTAACCAACATGAATAGACTTCTCATTCCATTGTAAATTTTTTCGTGTCTAGTTAAGGCGCTAGTGTTGACAAAATGTTTTATCTATTATTTTAGGTTTGATTTCTTGATTTGTGCTTTACTGTTTGGTTATAAAACTAGGGAACGAGTTATTGCTTATGATTGGATCGAATTATTTGGCTAAACGTGGTTCTAAATACTGAAATAACAAGAAAAAACTTTAAACAAAACACAACCTCTGCAGTACACCGTACAGAAGTAACAATAAAATTGTTTTCATCTGTTTCATAAGGATGAGAAATCTACTAAGGGAGTAAAGTTTTATCTAGGGTTCTACCTTCACATAATAGAACACTAGGCTTGGTATGGCAAAGGGATCATTTCTATGCATTGGTAGGAAAAAAGTATTTCAGTTCAAGAGAGTCTACTTTACTTCTTACACTGATCTTCTAAAACTCATTTGAGCTTAGCTACAGGTTTAAACAATCTTCTTTTTGTGTTAACTCCCATAGATTAACAAAGATTGAGATATTTATTGATTATAAATTTGTAAACTGTATTTGTTTAATATCGTATTTTCTACATAGTAGTCGTATCTGTGGACGATAGGCAATTTCAAACTAGTTAACATATTCTCTACTATTACACTCTTATCAAGTCCCATTAATGATAAGAATTATTAATATTGTCTCTGATGGTTATGGGTTAAAAATGCATATAGCACATTTGAAAATATTTACTCCACAATACAAAATTATAGTTGATTTAACTTAAAAATTGTACGTAATTTCCCCGTATATAAAGTGTGCATGATTTGCATGGATGTGCTCCTACTCTTTTACAATGTTTAGTCGTGTGCAATATTGACATTCACAAATCCTTACGTAACCTGAAACCAAATTAAGCTGTCCGTTGAAATTCAAATAAGTAAAATAACAGATATATAGCTATTATGATTCTAAATATTTTCTACTCAATTGGTCATATACAATTTTTTCCATGATTTTAAATGAACAGTTTTGCTTCAACCATATGATAAAATCTAATTCATGTTTAGTAGCATTTTTTAAGGAAGTGGAAATGAGGATTGATGTGATGCAAGAGATTATTGGAAGCAGGAAGATGCTTGTTGGGAACACTTCCATGCTTGATTGGTAGCATATGCATTTATCATTGCTCCCCCCCCCCCCCCCCCGATTCAATATAATACTGTAATTGCTTTCTAGTGTTAGGTAATAATGATTGAGACTCCTTAAGGGGATCGTTGAGGCTCCATATAAAAATACAGGCCTACTGATAAATAAACTTTTTTGTTGATTTGCACAAAATGAAATAGTTTTAAAAATTTGGGAAAGTCTTTAACTTTTCCCTTTTTCAGCTAGGTAAGGGTCTACCAACACAACAATCATTTAAGGCGTTTGTGCTGCTAATTGCATGCTTGTTACTATCACAGAGAAGTAAGGTTACTGAGGAAACTTGGTTAGGGACCGTGCGCTTTCAGCTCTAGTATGTTGTACCGAAAATATACTTTTGACGAGCAAGGAAGAACCTGAGTTGTGAGCACTGTGTGAATATTCCTATCGTACAGGGTACATAGTCTTCCTTCACCGTGAGTGTTGTACATTTGGGGAGGGTAACTAAACTAAACAGTATTAAGATACATAGAAGTTTCAAGTTTCACAAGTGTGATCATCAATGTAAACCTCACATTTGAAGAGTTTTTACATCAATGGGCGAAAAATTTTCGTAACGTTACACAAACGGAACAAAAACAGAATGTGTGGCTGATGTATGTTTGTAGTTGTGGTGAGTAGGCGGGCGAGTGGTACGCCTTTATACGCTATAGAACTCACAGGATACATGAAAATTTCAAGTTGTCTGTTGTTATGCTGCAATTTATTAAATCTACTAAGCCTAGCATAATTATTATTATTTTTTGTCACAGAGTTGGAACCTACTTACAAGAACTAACCGCAGTTACGAGTTCATCAGCTGGAGGTTAACGTTTATCTGGTTCATTGGCTTCATCGTCAGATACGGCTTTCTACTACCAACCAGGATTTGCATCTGCTTCTTTGGTGTAAGTTGCAATTTAGTAACATATTGTTGGATTTTGTTTTATAAAAAACATTAATTTTAAATGGAATTTTAGCGCAGATCTTCAATCCAATGGGCGTCAAAGAATACGTCAACAAAATTAATACCCCTATCAAAATTATTGTTTCATGCCGGTAAGGGTTTTAGGTTTGTTGGGGGTGCAAGAAAAAGGAAAATTCATCTCCGAGGTAGGTGACGCAATTATTTCTTGGGCGCATAGCATGTTAGAAGCTAACTGCAGTCCTAGCTAGACCTCGTGCTTCTTGCGACTTTCTTTTTATTTTGATAAAAACTTGACAAATTTAATGCAGTTCATAGCTAAGATTATAAACTTAAATAAAAAGAAATTACAGGGTGTTTGTTTAAAAAATTATAACCAATTATAAATATAACACTAGATAAATTAGGGTGTCTCTGGGTGTTAAGCCAACCGGGAAACAAAAAATTGTACATGAATCTTGTGGGAAACCTTGACATTTTGTATGATTTTATTTAAAAATACCCCGCCGCAGCAAACCTGCAGACTTAGCGAATTTCCATTTGCCTGATTGGATTTAAACTAAAATGTCTCCTTAAAAATATCACACTTATTCCCTATTTAAACAGAATTAGTTTAGTGAGTACTTAGGTTTGCTGCAACAGGGAGGGTAAAAATTTTTTTTAATGTAAAATGTTAAAAAGTACTGTGGTTTAGTACAAAATGTATTTTCCAAATTTGATCAAAATATGTTCATAAACAAGCAAACTACAACAGTTGACTTATTCTCCATAAGAATAACATGGGAATTAAAAATTACAATTTTTTTGAATTTTCTCCGTAACAGTTAGGCGCATTATAACGCATCAATATACTAAATTATTTGTTTTTTTAAGCTCTACAAAATGGTTTAAAAAGAAATTGTGAAATTTTGTGTTTTTATGGTCAAAAATGGGAAAAACCTATTTTTACCCCATAAAACCCCCCATAAACACCCGTTCCCATAGTCCGATCATGCTGGTTCGCGAACTCATTCAAGTTTATCCCGCCTTACACCTTTAAACCGAATTTTATGAAAATCGGACAAAAATTACTCAAGTTATCGTGCGGATGGACACATATATATATATATATATATATATATATATATCTATATATAGATATATAAAAATTTGAACGAATGGTGTTTTTGGCCTCTGGGGACATCAAAATGAAAAAGTAAATCGGTCCCGGGCTTAGGTCTTACCATGAGACCTACGGTAATAGCTACTTCCCTATAGGGAAATTCGCTAAAATTACAGTTTTGTAAACTCTGCAAGACGAATAAAACCTTAACCAAATGTTACTGTATCACAGGTGCTATGGCTGACATTCTGCACTGCCGTGGTGGGCTACGTTCCAGAGGGAAGGTTCAAGAGGTGGCTCAACTTCCACGTGTCCATCTTGTGTTTCGAAGTGTTGTCCTCGGCCCTCTCGTCCGTAGTCAAGTATCACAACACGGAGAACAGACCAAGGCGAGGGATCTGTGTTGCAAACCACACGTCTCCGATAGATGTGCTCGTACTCATGTGCGACAACTGCTATTCACTGGTTAGTCAACGATCTGAAATGAAAATTCTGTTATTTATGTTTTAAGGGAGCTTATTGTTGGTAGGCTATTTTCATTGTGTTTTGGAATATCACGAAAAATTGTCGGGTTCATGACGGTTGGCTAGGTACTGTCTCGAGTCAGATGATAAACCGAAATCGAACCACACTTTCCAGCTTTTGTGTATATTTCACGAGCTTTGATTCTTGCCACTTTATAATAATGTGTGAACAAAAAACTCACCATGTCATTGCAAATGCTGAAAATCTTAATGATAGCAAAAGTGCAGGTAATGTGAACGGTGGTTATGTGCAGGTGTAACGTAATGGTGAAAGATTTTCACTATTTTGTCGTAATTGCACATTGTATCCGCAGACACCACAGATGTTCACTAATACCGAGATCTTGGATGATGTTCACATTGTCACCATGATTGAGCCAGGCAATCTTTTTGTTGCCGTGATCATGTGAGAGGCGTTCAAGATTTCTCTATAATCGCATGTGATGATTACTTGTAATGAAATGTCTATTCCTTCGTCTAATCCTCTCCAGTTTTCTCAACACTATCAAGAATTTGTTCAATGGGCTTTTAGTATTTTTAATTCTACGTATTTATTATTTGTCACAGATCGGGCAGAGACACGGAGGCTTCCTGGGGGTGTTACAGAGGGCGTTGGCTCGAGCTTCTCCTCATATCTGGTTCGAACGGGGAGAAGTCAAGGACAGGGAGGCTGTTGCACAAAGGTTCGTAAATCGTTACACTTTACAAATACGATTTTTAACCAGGTTTACTGGTTGTTATACTAAAACCGTGCTGTAATCGCGGTAGGGAATGGTGTTGTGGGGGGATTTTACTACAAAGGCTGGAGACGATGATGTCTTTGCCTTTACGGGGATGTTCAAAATTTGTATAGAGCTCCAATAATTACAGATTATAGTCATCCATTATGATAAATGAACACTAAAGCAAATTTGTATTTTTGCTTGAAAGATTATTGCATATTTTCCATCAGTTATTTATTAGTCCAGCCAAAGTTTTTCCTGCAATAATGTCTATTACAATAAACATCTTGAAATTTTGTATGTAACAAAATCAGTGTGACTGAATTCACAAATTCAACAGAATCATTTAAAAAGTCTAAGTTGCTTATAAATAAAGCCTTTCTATAGTGTATGATTTTTACCTATTCGTATTTCTCTTGTAAACCTTGTTTTATTTAGTTTAAGTTGTTTTGTTAATTGAAATCGACAATTTCACCTGTTTACCCAGCTTTGCTGGTTCAATTGGAAACGTTTATGTCAAAATAAATCCTTGAATAAGACAGCTTGTTTGCAGATTGAGGCAACACGTGTCAGACCCGAAAAATCCTCCGATCCTGATCTTCCCCGAAGGTACCTGCATCAACAACACTTCCGTGATGCAGTTCAAGAAAGGCAGTTTCGAGGTCGGCAGCATCATCTACCCTGTTGCCATCAAGGTAGATTCAAGCTTGAGATTTATTGTTAACTAAACTCTTGTACTTGGTATTTTAAAGGAACGCCAAGTGGTTTATGGAGTTGTTTGGAAAGGTTCAGCTAACATGAAAACATTAGAATGCAATTAATGAACATAAATTGTCATATATAGTAAAACTCAGGTTAGAGTCAGGTGGAACGAGTCGACCGTTTAATGGAATCATCCCTCGAGACTATTGAGCTGCTCAGGTAGATGGTGGCATTGACTATTGGATACTGAAGTTGTATTGATGTCCAGTATCCAGTATCCAGTTGTATTGTAAAGATGGTGGCCTAGTCAGTGAGTCATTTTTCTAGCTCTATCTCTGGAAGATATTTTTTAATTGAAAAAAATATACAAATCTTATGTTACAAATGTATTTTGACATTAAGTTTGAGGTCATCCAGTGGTTTTTTTTATTGTTACTATCTAATACTATCATACTACAGTTTTTCCACTGCCAGTGCTGGGAAAGGCCCCCCCTGGAGGCTCAACAGTTAGTAGGACTGCTGTCAGTGGACACGGTCATACCGATTATGACGGAGGGTGGGGACAATTGGACCTGTGTGTCACATTACATCCAGGGTATTCTCCGCGCCAAGAAGCTCGACCTTGACCGGAATGCGGTGTAGGTCATAAAGAATCTAAATGCCAGAAACGGTGCGAGCCCTGACGGCTTAGGTCACATGTTGGCCTGACTTGAAGTAATGTGACAAACAATTCCAGGTCTGTGTCCAACAGAGTAGAGGGGGTTTTTTAGTAAAAGCATATTCCCTCCTCTCTCTAAAAAAAAAAAAAAAAAAAAAAAAAACTACAGTAGAACCCCTCACATCCGACCTCGGAATAACCGACTATTCGGGATATCCAGCCTAATGCCCAACCATCTTCTTCTTTCCTGTCTGGGGCAATAACGCCGATCGTGGATGTTGCTGTAATTGTGGCAGACAATCACCATTGTCGCCAATAACGGGTGTTGTTGTTCGGGAGACGATTACTGAAGTCGCAAAGACTACAAGTTATGCTCACAGATGTTGTCGCGGCTGCAGGAGATGATTACCAATGTCGCGGAGACTGTATGTTATGCTCCTCCCGATATCCGACCGTTAAGCCATCTGACCATGGCTCTGTCCTGTCATGGTCGGACATGAGGGGTTCTACTGTAATACCTAATTTCATAACTCCTTAAAAATGGATAGTGAACCACCAAAATATTGCGCTGATGTAAATTACTGATTTCTGTAGAATATGCAGACTTTTTAACCAATTAAAACTGATATGACAACATAATATGTAAGCAAAATACCTCTTTTGGCAAATCAATCTGCGACTGGCTTACATAACTATGTTTTTTTTAATAGAAATTGGCCAAAGCTGGTCCGTATAGATGGGATGTCTTGGTATCTAAAAGTCAGTGGTCTATTTAAATGTGTCGCATAACTTCTTGACCCAATTTGTGGTGTTGACATTTTCCTCTTTCAAACAGTATGACCCGAGGTTTGGTGATGCGTTCTGGAATAGTTCCCGGTTCTCTATGATGCAGTACCTCTACATGATGATGTCATCGTGGGCGATCGTCTGTGATGTGTGGTATCTGCCGCCCATGTACCAGAAGGAAGGAGAGTCGGCCATAGACTTTGCCAACAGAGTCAAGAGGGTCATAGCCAAACAGGGCGGTCTCGTCGACCTCATGTGGTAAGTTATGCACCTTATTATAAAAATATAAGGTGCATACCTTTACCACAACAGTTCAAATGTGGTATTCAAACTCATTACATGTTTCACCTATTTATTCAGGCATCTCTGGTGGTGAACTCCTAACAAGAATGCTTCATCCATTAGTTGTCAAAAAACATTCAAACAAAAGCATATAACCGGTAGCGGTACGGACGCAGACTGCTCCGTACCGCTACCGGTTATTATTAGGCCTACGTTAAATTTTCATTTTTGATGTTTTTGCCTCCTGATCACAATATATAAATTATTACTAGAGGTTAAAATACCTTATAATCCGTCAGTGTGATCAAAAAGTCACCGATGAAAGGCGACCGGTTTCAACCCATCAAAGGGGTCATCATCAGGCGTTGAATGGACACATAATTACTCCGAAGAGGTCGTCATAAAGTCAATAAATACAAAACGAAGAACACTTAAACACATTTTTACAAAAACACGTGTGGCCACAAATTGACTGCGCGGCGGACGGTATGTGCACATTGAGTTACAAGTCCAGACTGTCGTCACTGCCGTCTTGTCCATCTGTCATCCCCCTCCCCTTCTTCCAGCTCTTATCAGGTCCTTTCCGTTTTGTTATCATTCTTTCAATGCCGACTGCTGTTTCATATAATAATAATATGGCACTAGTCTAAACAACACTTTAAAAAATGAGCTGTCGGGAAACAATGTTAAGTTATCTTTTAGGACCTCTAACAAACTGTCATCCATCCTAAAAGAAAAAAGAAACCCCTCTTCTGACAAAACTGAGCTAACAGGTGTTTACAAAATTAATTGTGACACCTGTCCTAGTTTTTATATAGGTCAAACTGCGCGCTCTTTCAAAGCCCGTTTCAAAGAACACCTTCCGAAGAAATCCACCCAGAAAAATAATTCTGCTTTTGCTGAGCACCTAGTAACGAACAACCATTCATATACATCAATAGAAAATAATTTAGAAATTTTACAAGTTCACAGAACTAAAGGCAAACACTTAAACGTAATAGAAGAATTTGAGATCTACAAAGCTGGCAAGAAAAATCCCCAACACATTTTGAACGAAAAAGCATCTTTCGAAAGTAATTTATTATATGAAACAGCAGTCGGTATTGAAAGAATGATAACAACACGGAAAGGACCTGATAAGAGCTGGAAGAAGGGGAGGGGGATGACAGATGGACAAGACGGCAGTGACGACAGTCTGGACTTGTAACTCAATGTGCACATACCGTCCGCCGTGCAGTCAATTTGTGGCCACACGTGTTTTTGTAAAAATGTGTTTAAGTGTTCTTCGTTTTGTATTTATTGACTTTATGACGACCTCTTCGGAGTAATTATGTGTCCATTCAACGCCTGATGATGACCCCTTTGATGGGTTGAAACCGGTCGCCTTTCATCGGTGACTTTTTGATCACACTGACGGATTATAAGGTATTTCTACGTTAAATGTTTATTCGGTTGTTATGTCTTTTGTGTATTTGTTTGAATGTTTTTTGACAACTATAGTAGTAGGACTACTTTAAATGTTAAAATGTTTCTTGACGACTCTATCATGGATGAAGCATTCTTATTAGGAGTTCACCTGACAACTCCTGAACAAATAGGCGAAACATGTACGGAGTTTTACTACCACATTTAAACTGTTGACGTAAAGGTAAATGTACCTTATATTTGTCTAATTAAACAGTTCAGCGGTTACATAATGAATTCTAACATTATATACTCCATTCAAGATATTTAGGAGGCTTTAGGGGAATAAATCCATCCCCTCCACTTCAACCTCCTTTTAAAACAATATAAAATCACTCTGTATTTTATAACTATTTCAGGATTCAAATACAATTTTAAAACTTTTTAATGATATTTTTTCTTCAAGCCTACTAGTGTGCCTTATTAGCTGTAGCATAAACAGTGGAAAAGGTGGGTCTTGATCTTAACAAATGTTTATCTATCATACATAATTACAGTGTGATGTTTTATGGTCACGCTGTATATTGGGTAAACAAAAATTCTAGGAACAGAATTTTATTTCTTGAATTATTGCAGTTGATTAAACAAAGTTAAGCACACAATTGGGCCTACTATAGCTAAAATCTATTTTTAAAGTGAATATAATTCTTTTGTTTCTTCTGGAGCCGGCCCACGAGGAGTTCGTGGGTTGAATCTAAATAAGAGTTCAAGTATAGTAGTACATTAAATTAAAGGTCTTTTTGGAAGTGCCTCAAACCTAACCTCAAAAGGTTCATAGGGTTGGATGTTTAAGATTACCACTTGAAGTTGTTGATGGTGCTAAGTTGCCGTTGCTTGTAATTTTACATGGAGTTTTGGGAACTACGAGCTCTTTTTTCAGTTGTAGAATCTTTGTTCTTCAAATTTTACTGATAATTTGAGTCACTACCTATCAATCAATCTTTATTTGCCATAAGGATACATTTACATATCATTGACAAAGTCTATTTGCAGTTATATCAAACCAAGTCTTAACATAAGCAACAAAATACTCTTACAGGCCAAATATTACAATTAACATTCAACTCCATTCACATTCTTAACTGAAATGAAAACCAAACTAAAAGACAATTTCTCCCAGTTTAAAATAATCATCCAGACTATAAAAAGGGTTTTGAAGTAGATAATTATAAAACATAGCCTTAAATTTGTTAATTGAATGAAAATTTATATTATTTTTTACTGAATTATACACTTAAATTGATAAAATTATGTGGCAATTACTAGTTTTACTAATACGATGGGATTCTAACAGCGCAGTATTTTTAAAACGAGTGTTGTGACTGTGATTATTAAATTAAAGATATTCAGGGTTTTTTAATATATAAACAATCAGATCATAAATGAACAAATTTACTGCAGTTTGAATTTGTAGATCTATAAAAAGAGGTTTGCAATGATCAGGGCTTTTTTTGGAGAATCAAAATTTCTTTTATTCTACCACTACCACCCCAAAGCACCAATCCGTATCTCATGATTGACTGGAAGTACGCAAAATAGGCCGTCCTTACATATTTCTTAGGAACCTGATTTACAAGACAATCTAAAAGATGCACCACACGAGACAATCTTGAAGATTAATAATCAATATGAGCATTCCATGTGAGGTGATTATCAATATGAAGGCCCAAAAATTTGACAGCTGTGCTATTATTTAGATCACTCTTAGTGGGGATCTGTTTTAGTGTAATTACATGTTTTGGGTTTTTTCTTCATTAAGCAAAAATCCATTAGCATTAAACCAATTTGATGCTTTTAGCTTTGTTTCATGGACAAGATTTTTTAGTTCTGTTAGGTTGGGGTTTACATGAAAAAATGTTGTATCGTCAGCATAAAGAATAGTTTGACTCTTTACTGCCAATGGAAGGTCATTAAAATAAATTAAGAATAAAAGTGTATTTCTTGTGCTGCAGGGACGGACAACTAAAACGAATGAAGCCAAAGAAGGAATGGAAAGAGAAGCAACAAGAAGAATTCAGCAAAAGATTAAAAGTCGAATAAGATACTTCTGTGCTATTGTGATATGTGCCTAAATGTTGTATCATCCGATCTATAAGTAATGTACATATTTTTTGTGTAAAATAGCACTGTTAAGTTTTGCACAAATTGGTTGTAGTTTTACGTCCTAAGTTATTTTTCATAATTTATTATAGGTGTATCGAGTTAAAGAAAGGATCTGCTCGTTTGCGACTTGTGAGACTGTATCAAACGAACAATGACGTTAACAGCGACAAAAAATATTTTGTACTTAAACCACTAGCTGGTCTGAATCTCTTTAGCCGAGAAAGTTTCATTAATTTTTTTGTAATAATGAAGACTATAACTACTATATTGTGTGCAAAACATTGTTGCTGGAATACTTAAAGCTGTATGTAAAAACAATTGAATGCGTTTAGCGCAAATAGCTTAGTTATGGTGATAGAAACGATTGCAGCTAGACTGAGAAAGTGCACTTGGAAAGTTTCATTTTGTAAGTTGTATAAAGCATTGTTAGCATTAGATTTAATTATTTTTTGCCAAAGTATACAACCTATGAAGTTAGTTCAGTGTTGTTCTCTATGTCTCTTTAATACTCTTAAATTATATTATACAATATTATATTTTTTATGTTAATTCAGCTTTAAAAACTAACCAACAGTTGAACCATGATACCACTTTATATTTATTTATGAAAAGAGAAACATTAGATTCAATGTTGATTATGTTCCTCAGCCTTTGTAATTTATCTAGTTTATTTTATGTATTTATAAAAAAAACCACTCTGTTTACAAATATTGTAAATCACCTTTAAGCTTAATTGCACATATTTTGTTACCGGTACTTGGTTGTTAAATTAATTATAATAACCAATTCATATTTAAGTCTATACTAGATTTAAGTGTTTGTTTAGATAAGTATATGCAAACTGTTAACAATTACTAGGCCATCTATTGATGATACTATTTAATAAAAGGTCAGCGTTAGATAATGATAAAAACCAGGGTTTGGACGACCCACGATCCCCTTTTTAAAAAAATTGGAAAGACCATGGGTTTGAAAACAAAGTAAAAAAAAACCAAAAGGTACATTTTAAATAATTAATCGTATTCATATTTTAATAATGTTTTTAAGCGTGGCAGTACAAAAACTAAAAAAAAACCACCGCCACAGCGAACCTGCAGACTAAGCGAATTTCAGTGTATATGATCAGATTTTTACTTAAGTATTTCCATAAATGTAATATTCATTCCTCATTTAAATAACTTAAGATTTAACGAGTGGTTAGGTTTGCTGCTATGGGAAAGGTAAAAGTGTTTTTTGACAAAATGTCAATAGTATAGGCTGAAATAAATTTGCAAAATTTGATCAACATTTATACATAAACAATGAACTACAACAGTTTTCTTTTTCTCCATAAGAATAACATCAGAATTAAAATGTTCAGTTTTTTTTAATTTTTCCTATTACTTTTAATTGCGCAACAAAACTTCAATATACAAAATATTTGTTTTTAAGCTCTACACGATGGGTGCAATGGAAACTGAGCATTTCCATGTTGTAAAAAAAAATAATAAAAATAAATTATTTTTTAAAATTTCAAACCCCCATAATACCCTGTTTCTATGACCTGATCTTGTGGGAACTCATTTAAGTTTATTTAGCCCTACACCTTAAAACCAAATTAAAATTTGATCAAAATCGGACCAAAATTACTCAATTTATAATGTTCCTGGGGACATATTTATTTATAACAATTGAACAATGAGTGTTTTTGGCCTCTAGAGACATCAAAACTAAACAGTATATTGGTCCCGGGTCTATTTCTTACCATCAATAGCTACTTCTCTATAGCAGAAATTCACTGAAATTGCAGTTTATTCTATTTCCAAAGTTTTAACAAATCTATCAAATTATTCTTGAGGAATAGAAAATGAGGGTTAGTTTAGGTTTAACTTAATTAGGCTTTAAAAAAAATGTTCTATTAAATCCTAAATCGATCCAAAATTCAGTATTTCCCTGTACCTTTTAAAATGATTTACAAAAACAACTTTTTTTTAAATAAAAAGTTATCATAGTGACCGATTAATTAGACAGTAGGATGAAAGATGTAACAGTTGTATTCATTGATTTTAGTTCAACACTGTTTTTTTGTAAAGTATACCATTGCGATCTTTTAACTTTGTGTTGTGATTGAAAATACCGTAAAGTTAAGTTTGTTGCCAAGTTTTAAAATTGGTTTTAAAAGACTGCTTTAAGGATCCAGTAGCCTAATTTATGTAGCTTTTAGTACATCGGTGTACGATAATTTGTAAATGTAAACTCGAGAACAGCTGATCATCGGTGGAATAAACATGTTCATGTATGATTTTCAAATGTAAAAGATTACGATTGCAATTGAATTTTGGCAAGTCACAAGAGCTATTATCAGGGCCATTAATGACAAGTCATTATTATTTGAGTCCTCGATTAGGTCTGATGATTCTGTATGACTTGACAAAATAGATTGCCATCTTTTCTTCACATTTACTCTCACAACGTTTACAGTATAAGTGTAAACATATCGAATAGTATTGGAATACGTATCTAATCACATCCTTATGATTTTCATTCAGATTTAAGTTTAATTCTGCAAAACGTTCTAGTTTTTGTTGTCAACATTATGTTATATTGCAATTTCGGCTAAAGCAAAACTAATAATTTTTATAAGGTTATTTTGTTAATGTAGCCTTAATTTTGCATCATTAACAAACTTTACTTATCAGAAAATTTCACATTAATATACTTTATTCAGCAGTTCTTGGGATACAGAAATAAATGTACAGTTGTCTAATTGTAAACAAATCAATTTGTTTGGTAACTCTTGTGTGGTTTGATTTTTGTTTGCAAATATTTAGTTAAAAATCCAATGGATAAGGGATTTGGTTTTGAATTAAGAGATGCATTTAGCGTAGGACTTCAGTCTCTGGTTCGAATTCTGCCAATCACCAATGGATTTTATCTAAGTGATGGCCGCAACCCGAAATAATGACTTGTGATAAACAATCCTGGGGATAGAGCCTAGCGTCCTATGACAAGTAAAGTTATTACCTTAAGACTTGTACATCTACACAAAACAACTTGCTTTGATTGTTTGAATCCTGCACAGATTTTTCGGCAAAAACAAGATCCCTTTTCCATGTATGTCAGTAGTACTTTGTGTGTCTTTTTCACATTCTGTTGGGCAATTTAGAGAGAAGAATCCATCTCCTTGTGTACCTGCTCAGAATTTTGAATTTGTAAAGCTATAATGGAAAACCATTGGCTCCAATGGCTCAGACGTAAACGTGAGACTTGCCTCATCCTAAGTACTGGCCAAAGGTGTATACGGTACACCGATGAAAGAATAAAGAATTTAAAAATTACCGTAATGTTTGGTACTCCCAAAAGTGGTTTATGTACGATAATGATTCCCATCTAAGTCTCGAACATATGTAAGGTAATGGTACAGAAAATTAATCTTTCTCTAAATTGTCCAAAATTCGTATAGCAACACTTTTTCCAATAATTTTTAAAGGTAGTTCATTCTTCCAATGTCTTGTTTGTTTTTTGTACAAAATAATTGCATTTCAAGATCTACTTTTGTTGAATAAATATTTTGATAGTAAAATTCAACAGCTGTATTTAATGGTGAACCTTGCTTTGTTTTAAGTGCCGCAGATGTTGATCCAGCTGTTTTGAAAGGTGATCAAAGATTAAACGAACCCCAACAGTGAGAGTATTGGAATGATCATGAGAATCAGGTGCTAGGGTAAGTAGTGTGAGAGCAGAGACAGAAATCTTTCCCTACTTTTCCTCCAAAACTCTAAGAGAGATACAACCACAATTTTTTATAGATAACTATAGTTCGGCCGCTTAGAAAACGACCTGCGCGCTAATGCTAAACCAATGCTGGAGGAGGTCACTTTCTAAGCGGCCGAACTATACAACAAGCTATGGATAAATAGCATTCCACTTGCCACTCTAAATAATTCAGTCCATACTCATAACAAAAAGTGTGTGGCTAGAGCTGGCCTTGGGTGATAGGGCCAGGTGCAAACATTCAGAGCGGTCCCCATATACAAAAAAGTAGTATTTTAACAATACTAACGGAAATCGCAATGTAGAGTATTATTAGTTATCACTCCCTTTTTCTTGTTTGCATCATCAATGAATTGCCGCACTCTAAATTAATGAAAAACTAAAGGTCTTGGAGGTTGGACACTATTTAAAACTTTGGTTTTGGACACTATGATACCTAAGGGCAAGAACTATTTGTGCTGTTTTAAGAACAACAAGCATGTGCCTGAGACGATCAAATATGACGGTCAGCAATAGAATTTTAGGATGGAGCTGGTATTTCAATTTTGTTTATGTCAAAATTACGTTAAATTAAAATGTTCATAAATCTTACCATGTTTCATACATAATATTCACCACTTAATTTAGTTTTGTACATTCATCATGAATTTGTTTCTACAATATTATTTTGGATACAATGAAACGCCACCCCCATTCAAACTGTCCTAACAAGGGTCATAGATGCAAAGGACTAAAGACTAAGTATAGCGCAAGTAGTGAAGAAATAATTAATACATCTCACCCATCATATTCTCATCAATACTGTACCAGAAACAGAATAACTATGCAACACCTTCCCATAGATTAGATTTTTTGAAAAAACCGATGTATATTGGGTATAAAATGTTACAATGCTCATCCAACAAAATTAAAGGCCTATACAAAAACGACCAAATTTAAAAATACTCTAAAAATGTACTTTTTAGCTTAACCCCTGTACTCAAAGAATGTATATTTCCTTCTACATACAGGGTGCGGCAGAAAGAACTCCCCTATTAGGAAAGCTAATAAAAACAAAACCAAGTAAGATATGACATTTTTATTGCTATTAACCAAAAACACACATTATGCCATTTTAAAAAATATAAAATTATAGTGCTTTACATAAAATGTCGTTTTAATAATCGATGATTTAAAATTATCGTGTTTTAAATAAAATGTATTTAAATGGCGGCCTCCATTGTTTCAAACGTTCATTGGTTCAAACGTTCCCGGTAGTTGTCCATTACCTTTCAGGTCATGTAGGGTGAGATGGCTGCAACTTCATGCCTTATTCTTTCCTTCAGGGCTTCCAAACTTTGAGGGCGATGTTCGTATACCTTAGACTTTCCATTTAAATGACATTTAATTTAAAACAGGATAATTTTAAATTATTGATTATTAAAACAATTTTTTATTTAAAGCACTATAATTTTATATTTTTTTAAATGGCATAATGTGTGTTTTTGGTTAATAGCAATAAAAATGTCATATCTTACTTGGTTTTGTTTTTATTAGCTTTCCTAATAGGGGAGTTCTTTCTGCCGCACCCTTTATTAGAATAAGAACATTTTCAAAAGTGATTATATCTTGTACTTTTTAGGATTAAGCATTATGATTTTGATCTAATGTAATGAAACCATTCGTGCACATGTTTGCAAATTATGAATAAAGTTGATTTCATTTCATAAGTTCAGCGGGTGTCAGCCGATAAATTTCGCCTGCATGAAAGAATTTCCGACCGCTGTGCTTAGATGAATAAATTCTCAACTGCTATGCCGTTTTCAGTATTACTAAGGCCGCTCCTACATTTGAAGCAAACTGTTCTGGTCAGCCAACCATACCTGAACTGACCCAGTGCTCCTTCACTGCAGCCAATCTCAGTATCCGGTGAAAAATTTCATTTCTACAAAGACTAGTTCATTGGCTCTGGAAGTGTTTTGTGTCAGAAAAAAATTAATGGTGTTCAACTTAATAAATAAATTTTGTTTAGTGACGGTTTTCACTATTTGATAGATTTAAAAGCCACAAACGTTTCTATAAAGGCCGATAAGGTTGAATTTAGTGACTAAAAGCCTTGGTGGATGTGTAAGTATTTTATACAACAGATGTAAAGAACAAAATGGTTCTATTTCCGGTCCTCTTCCCGTTGCAATTTACATGTACAACACCTTGTAAAAAATGAAAATATACAGAAATATGATTTATTTGTAACTTACAGTGAACTAATTTACTTACATGCAATTATTTAAGTTTAATATTTTGTATTTTACTTATGAGTTGAAATGTAAAAATTAAAATACACCTATTAAGGGTGTTTGATCGAAAATAAAATACTATTATTTTTTAAAGTATAATTTTTAAGGTCATTATAAGGGTAAGAAAAAATGTCATCTGAAATTTTTAAGTGGCCTAATAAGAGAGTTATGGGGCTTTGAAGTGCTAACTCCGTTTGCTTTCCAGCTCAAAAACGGTTTCGACTATATTCACCAAACTAGTCTTAAAAATTCAAAAAAATATATCTTTACAAGCTTAAACATTTTATTTCCCATATCGTTTATAAATAAAAAAGTACCTTTTTTTGTAAATTCGATAACTGAAAATAATAAATAACTGTAAATTTTTAAATGAACCGAGAAAAGACGCATATCAGAACAAAGCCAATGATGTACAGAATGTTTAAAAAAGTACTCCAATGGAAAATTCTTAAGCGTTTTGAAACTGGAAAGAAAACAAAAATCACGTAAAACCAGCGTGGCGTGCGATGTGAGTGTGTACAGTGCTCATATGCGCACTCACGGTGCGCGGGCGCACGCCCCTGTCTCCTCATCCCCCGCACCGGCCGCTCCTACCCTGGTTCCCGCGCGCTCTACCTGCTCTCAGCTACCTGCTGCCAACCTGTCACCGGTCACGTGTTTTGTATTTTGGAGTTATATTTTGTGATTGTGTTTTAGCATTGACTAAGGAAATAAAATTTTGTTTCTCTTGTCTGTGGTTATTGTTAGTATTGTAAAGGTGCAATGGGAACCAAAAAACCGCATAGTAAATACAAACCACGTAAACGCAGTAAACGCTCGAAAGTGCTTAGAAGAATCCATGAACGGAAACGCGAGGGCGAGGATGTAAACACAACTAACAATAGTTCAAATCTCTCCGAAGAAACTAGCGATGAAGTTTTTGATCGTCTTGTGGCATCCAGGTAAGTTGTATTTGAATTAAATCATATTTAAATGTTGTTTTTTTTATGTATTTGGAAAATTTACATTTTTAATTTCTTCCCCGTATATGTAGTGTATGGAGAAAGTATTGTTTTCGTCAAAGTTTTCAGTGTATTTCTATTTTGGGTCCCCCAAAAAAGTGGTACAGTATTCGAAGTGATGTGTGATGTGTGTCTTTATGTGTACAGAGCCACAGACCACACATGTAGTCCGATTTTGATGAAAATTGCTATGTAGGTACTAAAAGGTTTCAACATTGTTTATGTAGGTACTAACTCATGGTATTTCCAGACATGTTTTTTTATATTTTTTTATTGTGATTTTAATGATGATTTTTTTCCATAAAATACAGTAACGGGATATCAGATTTTCTCGAAATTTACCCGAAAGATGTTTTTTTATTAAGTATGTAATAGTCCTTTACATTCTGAACAAAATGGTACAAATCCCATTACCGTAAAAATTACAGTTTAACAGTTATTGTGACTTTTGTGATTTTTTACTATAAAATGTCATATTTAAATTTATTCTCACTGCTTACCCATGATAAAGGTTGTTTACAACCTTATGGGAGAAAGTATGTGTCGGAATGCTGATATCGTTTGTTATT